CGTTAAAGGAGTAAATAAAGTAATGTATTGTTACGACATCGGAAGTCACGTGACGCTAGTAACACGTCATTGACTTCTAGAAATATCCTGCTCCTTCATGAATGCTATAGCGTTTACTAGATATGTGTTAGTCTTGTATATATAAGACGGTCACAACGTGACGGGACAATATGTGTAATTGAACTGAGTATTGCTGAGTCGAGCACATGAGACGTTCGTTAAGTATTATAGCGTTTGTTATAGCGCAACTGTTGAAATTAAGTGTATCGCAAGGTTATATTAAAAAAGAATAAATCAGTTTTATTTAAGAAAGGACTTGTGTCGCCAAAGTCTCGTCGGAACGAATTTACGGAAACTTAACTAACGAACGGAGACGTAACAAATTGGCGTCAGAGAGTGGGACAAAAAAAAATGGAAACGAGAAGTGGCAAACTACAAACTACAGCTTAGCAGATTTGATGGCAACAATACAAGAACAGCAAAAGAAACAAGAAGATAAATTACAGTGGTTCATGGAGGAAAAAGAAAAGAAACAATAAGAGAAATTACAGCAGTTCTTGGAGGGAAAAGAAAAGAAACAAGAAGAGAAATTACAGCAGTTGTTAGAGGAAAAAGAAAAGAAACAAGAAAAACGAGAGAATAAACAAGAAAAGAAACAAGAAGAACGAGAAAAGAAACAAGAAGAACGAGAGAATAAACAAGAAAAGAAACAAGAAAAACGAGAAAAGAAACAAGAAAAGAGATTACAGCAGTTGCAAGAAAATTTGCAACAGTGGCAGCTCGAACAGCAAAATAAACAAGAAGAGAGATTACAACAGCTATTGGAGGAGAAAGAAAATAAACAAGAAGAAAGATTACAACAGCTATTGGAGGAGAAAGAAAATAAACAAGAAGAGAGACTACAACAGTGGCAAGAAGTACAAATGGAAAACATTAATAAATTCAAAAGCGAATTAGATACATTAAAGGATGATATATTGTCTTTTTACACAAGGAGGATACATTAATCATCGACTTAATCAGCCCCAGACATGGCAAGCCCCTT